ATTTAATAATTTTTAAATATAATTTTTTTAAAAAAATTATTTAATAAATAATATTATTAATTTTAATAAAAAAAATTGAGTGCCAGTTTTTTTGTCCCAAACTGTAACTATAGCAATATTACTATAAAAAAATTATATATTTTTAAATATATTTTTAAAATTTTTATTTATTTGTAATTTATAAATTATGATATTTTAGAGATAATCCAAAGTGTACAAGTTAATTATACATGTAAATACAATTTGATTCTATAGGGCTTCGAATTTATGAATCGATTTACGCGAGTTGAGTTAACTTCTTCACTGCGGCCAGTATTAGCAGCTAACGAAACTATTCTTGCGACACAGGATAATGTAGGACTCTATGATGGGTGGGTAATTATGTTCTTTTAAAATACTTATATTTGACTGACTTCTTTAAATACAATAGTAATGAGAAGTCTGTCGAGTATGCAAACGGCGTAGCTTATTTGACCACACATCGAGTGGTGTACGTAGATTCACGAAATCCAACAACACATTCACATGCAGCTGAATTAAGACTCATTAAAGGAAGAGAATTTTATGTAAGTTTTCTCGTTAGAACAATACTTAATTAAATTATTAACCTGTATACTCGCATCGTCTAATTCAAAAATATATGGAATAGATAGGCTGGTTTTGGAATAGTAAAATCTTCACCAAAAATTACCTTGAAATTCTCGGAATCAGTACTGCCAGACAATAATATTTATTCTGGCTCTCCTTATTCATCAACTACCTCTTTGCCAACTACATTATTGTCGTCCTGGCTTTGTCCGATATGTTCATATAAGAACCAACAAGAGGACGTTAAATGTAGACTGTGTGGTGTTAAGCGATCAGAAGATTCTATGATTTCCCCAACTTCTCAGGATAGATACCCTCACTCAAAGGAGAGCGTTGACTCTACCTCGTCATATGATCAATCATCCGATGAAATTGGAATCGAGTGCCCAAAATGCACGTTCTTGAACCATCCAAGTATGAATGAGTGTGAGATGTGTGGTACCAAATTAGGAATTTATGATATAGAAGGGGACATTGCGGAGTTAACAAATATTGCAGATAATCTCGGAGACAGACCAGATTTTGTTAAACTTGCTTTTCGCGGTGGAGGCTCCAATGCATTCTATGAAAAGCTGAAAGTAGCAATGTCAACTAAGGAATGGGAGGTGGGTTCTAATATTATACAAAATAGTACACTTGGGATTTTCAATTCGTCGATTTATATTTTGTTGTGTAATTAGAAAACGACAGGACCTCAAACAAATGAATCCAATTCTGATCTTAGTCTTGGAGGGATAAGTGGGTCCGATATATATACATTGGTGTTATAGCTTTATAATATACGTATGAACTCATCAAGCATCGTTGGCATTTAATTAAGGTGCCATACTCAATAAAGCCGAACAAAATAAAAAAGAACAAGAAGAGACATTAACACAAGCTTTCAAAGATTTAGATGGATTGATGGCAAAAGCAGCTGAAGTGGTTAGGATTATTTCTTTTCGTTCTTCATAAGTTTAATGTAACATTCGTCTATTAAAAATCTTCATTCCATGTAGGTCAAACTCGTAGAATCTATTAACAATAGAGTAAATAAGGAGCCAACAGATTCTGAAAGCTCGATAGATGAAACAAATGCTTTTAGAACTTATTTACTCGAATTAGGAATACCTAATCCTGTGACCAAGTATGTAATTAGATGAAAAATTCATGCTTGAAAAAATTTGTTTACATAAAGGGCGTTTGATTATAGGGACTCTGCGGGATCCATATATCATAAGGAGTTGGCTCGCGAACTTGCAGAATTTCTTGAAAAGATATTGGTAAAAGAAAATGGAATGATGGCATTGACAGATATTTATTGCATTTTTAATAGAGCACGAGGAGTTTGTATGAATACTATTTTATTTTACTTTATTTTAGTTTTTGATTACTACCAAATTGTTAATCCCATCATTTCCAGCGTTGATATCACCTGACGATCTATATAAAGCCTGCTCTCTTTTTGAAAGCCTGAACTTACCCATGCGATTAAGGAAGTTTGCGAGTGGATTATTAGTTGTTCAATCAGATATCCTTTATAATTATAATAATATCTATTATAACATCAGTGTTAATGAAATTTATCGTTCTTAATGTTGCTTACTGTCCCTCAGCGATGAACAAACTGCTCAACATATTTTGGAATACATTAAAACTACCGGACCGTTAACTGCAATCGATTTGGCATCCTTTGATAAAATGAGTATTGCTCTGGCAATTGAACAACTGCAGGTTTGTTTGACTTATATTAATATCATTTCTTTAAGACCATCTTTTACTTATTTTAGATAACCCACAGATGGTGGAGGCGAAAGGACTTATCTGCAGAGATGAAACCGTTGAGGGAGTTCGGTTTTACGAGAATTTGATAATAAATTTTAAATGGGAAAAGCTCGATTCATAAATATCCAAGTTACTATTGTACATGGACCATTTATTTAACATTTTGATGATCCCCAAAAGCCTTTATTATTTGTAAAATTGGATAGATGCATTTAATATATACATCATTTTATTAACAGTTGTAAGTTTGATTTTAACAATCTTCTACATATTAAAGAATAGGAATTTTTTTTTCAATTAAATAATAATGATGTTATTAATACGTTTTTGTCTCTTGTTTAAGAATAGTTTTTAAAAAGTTGAAATAAATATTGTTTTGGATTATCTGTAGATTATCTAAATTTCTAAGTAATTAATTTATTTAGTATATTTCGATTTTGGCATCTTTGTATATTCGTGTATCGAAATTTTTATTTTTATTAATTAGAATAAATTATTATTATTTTATAACTTTTTATTACAATACTAATCTTGAAATACAATATATAGTAATAATTAATTTTTTTGAATAATTATTAATTATAATATACAGTATGTTAAAAAATTTTCTGAACAAAAATTATATAATAAATTTTTTATAAATGTATTTTTTTAGAAAATATATATATATATTTTTAAAGTTGAATGGCATTAGATACAAATATTTTATTGATATATAATTTATATATTATATTAAACATTATTTATAATACTTAACTACAATTAAATACTAGCCTATGTCTAATATTCAGGAACCTATTACTATATGATTTTTTTTCATGATATCAAGAATTATAAAAGTAAAAATCCTACTACTAGTTTATAAACTACCTAATTTATAGTGTTTATAGTTTTATAAGTAGGATATATACTATTAATTAGAATTTATAACAGTACTATTTTGATATCAAATCAGTATCAAAGTCAATATTATTTTGATACTCAATTTGAAATTCTACTATTAATTTCTATATAAGTTATTTATTAAATTATATTTTTTCACTTACATAATATATGCAGTAACAAAAACCTTTAATACAAGTATATACTTCCTAATGAATATTTCAGTTTTGACTGTTAATTGGACATTGTCAAATTTAAAGATTTTAATAATTAAATAAGACATAATTCCTTAAAAATCTAACTTGTTAATTAAATTAATGCTTTTTAATATTCTATTAGATACTTAAGATTCAAACCAGTTGATATAGGCTATCAAATCTAAAGATATAAATGTTAAGCAAAATATAACTTCTATATATTCTTTTTATTATATAATATTTATATATTCATATAAAAAATATTAGTTCAATATTTTTTAGGACTTTTAATAATATTACTTTAATATTACTTTAATATCAGTTTTATACTCGAATTTATCATAAAGTTTGATATTAGTTTAATATTAGTTTAATATTTTTTAGAATTCTGATATTCTTCTTTAAAACTTCTTACTTTAATAATTAATAAATAAAAAAAATGATAATTTGAATTAGTTAAAATAAAATATAATTTAATCTATATATTTAAATATGATATGGGTATTTATATAACATATTATAAGATTTAATTAAAATTAAATTAGAAAATTTTTTTATATAATTCTTTTCTTATATAAATTGTTGTAATTTTGCAATTACTGAAAAAATTAAAAATCCTATCTTATACAGTCTAATTAGAAAAATTTATAATAAATTATTGTAATTAAACAGGTTTAAATCTTAAACTTTTATCTGATAGTTTATAAAATCTTATTACTAAATTATAAATCTAACAGTTTTTAAAAAAGTATATATAGTATTTAAAAAAATAATTTTATTAAATATTTGTAAAAGACTTTAAATTATTTTTAATAAATATATATAGTTTATCTTTATTATAATGGATCTGTCAAGTTGAAAAAATATTTTTATTATAGTAAATATCTATTATAATGTTATATAATATAATAATAATAAATCAAATTTATTTTAAAATATTGTTTTGCTATAAGAAATCCAGTTTAATCAAATCTGTTATAATAAGAATAAACCATATAAATAATTATTTTTTTATGAATGCAGTTCATTTTCTGGGTGAGTAATTTTATTCTCCAAGATCTTTTGGTGGTTAATTATAGAATCAACCTTTTTTAAGATTAAAGAACTTTGTTCTGCAAGCACTTCGAGAGACTTCACCGATATTAAAAAATATTTGATTAATATTGATTAAAAATGTATTTATAGTAATATAATATATCTGAAAACTTTTTGTTTTCTTTCCAGGTCCACAGTTGCCTATTCACTTGTATAGTTACTTCTAAACCCAGTTTAGGAATCTTCGCATGCTTTCATAACCCTTTAGTATTTTTATGTTGTATTGTTCCCTAAATGTTTTTGACATTTATTGAATTATTTTTGAATTTTCTGGACTTCTTTAAATGTTCTTTACTAGGATTGTATTCCTTCAATTTTCTCTTAAAACCTGTAATTAATGTATAATTTAGAAACCTTATATATAAATAATTTTTAAAATGTAATCATAAAATATTGTCATATATTACAACCTTCTTTATAATTCTTTATCATAAATTGTAATTTTTTAAAGAACTCTAGTATAGTAAATTATGATATAATATAAAAATAGGTTTATACAATTTATGCAAATTTAATTAAATTTTTTATTGACTAAAATTGTTTGTTTTTTATTGACTAAAATTGTTTGTTTTTCATTGGCTAAAATAGTTTATTTTTTATTGGTCAGAACTAATTTATAATTTTTAGAATATTTTGAAGTTCATCAAAATATCTTATAAATATTTATTTTGTAAAAAGTTTTTTTCAAGATATTCAAATTATTCTAGGCATGTTAATAAATATATATTAATAATCAAATCTAGTAATAAATCTAATAAAAGCTTAAATGAGTCTCAAGTTTTAGATATGTTTAAATATTTTGATAATTTTCACAATATTCCAGAAATCTTCAAAATTGAAGCAGTTTGCAATTAATTTTTATATATTTTATTTAATTTTTTATAAATTTTATTTTAATTTTTTATTTTAATATTATTATTTTTTAGATAACTTTGAATACTCTTGAAAGTTTTGATAAAATTCCTTTAATCTCTGTCAAATATTCAAATACTATTATTAATCTTTCCAATAATTCTGAAGAATCAATTGAATCTTTTGCTATTGCAGAATATTCTGATAATTCTAAAGAATTTATTCAATCTTCTAAAGAATTATTTGATAAATTTTTCAATGAAGCATATGCAGATTTAATAATACTTGTTATAAAAAATAGGTTAAGTAATTTAACAGGAAATTAAATAATTTCTTTTTTTAATAAATGTTTTAATTTGGCAATTAGTTCTTTATCAAAAAATATTTAGTAAAGAGATATTTTTATAAATAATATGAAACAATCAAATTTAAAATATTGCAAAACTAGTATTTTAAATTATAATAATATTGAATATTTCTTATATTATTTACCATTGATTAGTTGTATTAAAAATATTTTAGAAATTCTTGATATTTCTCAAGATTTTGCACTAAGCTTTGAAGTGTTATACAATTTAACAGAGATATATAAATTTTTATTTAAATTATATATCATTAAAACATTTATTAAATATTTTTCTTTTAAAAACTTCTGTAAAATCTGTTTATGGCAAACAAAATAGTGGAATATAATGAAGGAATACAGAAAAGTTTTTACTATTTGATTTCAAATTATTAACAATTATTTTATATTCCAATGTAACCAATTGTAATACTTTAAAAAAAAGTTCATTATATTTAATATATATTACACTAAGTAATATATCAACATAAAAATGTAATAAATCTAATGCAAAACAATTATTGAAATATTTTTCAATAATAAAATCTGAAATATAACAGAAAAATAATTAACAAAATTCAAAAAAATAATTCGTAATGCATTTCACAAATCTTTAGAGATTCTTCTAAAACTATTAAATATATTGCAAGATGACTTTAACCTTTCAATTGAAAATAAAAGCTATTGGTTTATTCCAAAACTCTTTGCAATAATAGCAGATTGACCAGAAGCATCAACTTTTTGTTTAACATATAAATCATCAAATTCAAATTATTCTTGTCACTTTTGTTTAATTACAAGAAATAATCTTACAAATATTAATTTATCAAAAAAAGATATTATATTTAGAACTTATGAAAATATGAAAAAACATTTACAATTAAATTTAGAAAAATCCATATCTATTGAAAATATTTTGAATTTCTTTTGAAGTCTTTTGTAAGTATTTATAAATTTTAATATTATTTATAACATTATTAAATTTTATTAATTAATTCTATAGACATATAAATATTTATGAAGCAACAATTCTTGATAGAGTATATTATCTTGATTTGGAACTTTTCTTATATTAAATTGAATTTATACAAGAATATTTAAAAACTTTACATTCTACATTAGTTGATAAAATAGATCAAAGACTCTTGAAAATTCCTAGATATCCTGATTTAAATTTTTTTTTACATAGAATTCAATTAATTATATGGCTTATTGCAAAAGAATATAGAGATTTAATAAAAGTTATAGTTTTTATTATAGATAATATTTATAAAAATAATATAAAAAATTCATATTAAAAGACCTGTGGGTCTATAGTATAGTGGTTAACACTCCACAGGTCAGATCACAAGATACCAGTTAAACTTCAGGTAAAGGCAGTTGAACCAAATTAAGAATGGTATCTGGGGCCATAACCTGTTAAGCTCTGTTTCCCATAAGAAGTCATTTACACGCTGATCCAGTGGGATATTGGAATTGTGATCTCCAGAAAAGGTGTCAAGGTGTGACAATCATCCGTATGGTGCTACGATGATCACCAGAAGCATGCCAATGGTAGTTGAGCAACATGGTAAGTCAAGAGACATGTGTTCAACTTCCTTAATCAAGATTCCTCTTGTGTTTGGATGTACAGATTGGGTTGTACTCCATCCTAATCCAATCCCATCTATCTCTGTCACTGTTAACCATTAAGTAAGGAGGCTTTGAAAAAATCACACTATCGCCACCCCTTCTGTAGATAAGGTTTAATCT